GTAGTAGTAGCAGTAGTAGGAGGAGGAGGGTGAGGAGTAATCATCTTATAAGATATATATACATTAAATATATATTAGTAGTGGTAGTAGTAGGAGTAATAATCTTTTAAGAAATTATACTCGTTCAGAAAATCTTCGGTGTCTTGATTTGCGAATAATCAAACCAATACCAAAGGGAGAAAAAAGGTATAAAAAAGAAAGATATATATATACGTGATGTAACTTCCCTCTGTTTTTTCTACAAATATTTCAAGGCAACTGCTTTGAATCTGACGTTAATCACTACCTTTTCGTGAACCACGTTCAGCTTTTATCTATTCCTTCGTTCGCCTTATACCCCAGTCTTTTCTCTCGCCTTCTCTCCCTGTAACCCCCTGCGTACCAGTGGCATTACCGCCATGGTTGGAATGAGATGATTAATCTATCTATCTATCTATCTATCTATCTATCTATCTATCTATATATATATATATATATATATGTCTGTTCATATCTATCTCTCTGTATCTGATTCAAACTATTAAAATCTATCTCGCTAGCTAGCTATTTATTAATCTTTAATAGTGATGCGCTTTCTGATCTCTTACACCTTTATATCACCATTCTTCCATCTACATATATATATATATATATATATATATATATTGCTTGATATCAAATCCAAAATGAATGTTACATTTAAGCCATCTTCTGGCTTCACACTCTCTCACTGCCACATTTCTTTGAGATTCCGAGCTTTTCAATAATTGTAGCAACCAATTAGGCTTTTAGATGACAGGTCCTTTCCTGAAGATGCTCTTAAAAAACGTGCCACTGCTTGAAGATTTCAAATGTCTGTAAAACGCTTGTACAGGTCTAATTCTCTTTCTTTAACAATGATTGTAGTTACCCCGAAAGAAGAGATAGTTGAAAGAAGATGCAATCCTTCTCTCTCTCTCTTCTTCTTCTTCTTCTTCTTCTTCTTCTTCTCTCTCTCTTTCTTTTTTTCTCTCTATTTATTCATTTGTATATTTATTTTTCTTATTTCTTTCTTTCGTTTATTTTCTTTACTATATTTCTTTTTGTATTCTTTTTTTTTTTCTCTATTCATCCTTATTTATCTTCTTTTTTCTTTCTTTCCATTTTGTATAATTTTCATTTTTTCTACTCTTGTTCTTTTTTCTTTCTTTCTCTTTTTCTTTTATTTTACATTCAGCTTTTATTTTTTTTCAGAACATCCTTTCTTTCTTTTTTCGCACTTTCATTCTTCTTGACTTTTACTGGTGTTTTGTCTTTTATTTCTCTTTTTCGAGACATTCCTTCTTTCATCATTCCTTCCTTTTATTTGTATTCTTATCCTTGTTCATTTGCTTCTGTTATTTTTAACGTCTCTGTCTTCAGTAATTGTTGAAGCTTGGATCCGCATGGAATAATAATAATACAACACAAAATGTACGTAAACAAAATGTATTGAAACAAGGAAAAGGTACACAATATTTAGTTAGTTTTGGTATATTCTTGGGAAGACTTCCTGCAGAATGAGTTGACTAAATAGCAGTCGGTCAGAGTCTCTCGATTGGATCTCTTCTCACTTTCTTTTCTCCGTCTTCCCGGTACCAACCCATATTTATATGGTCGGTACTCCACTTATGTAAATTAGGTGGATCGTACCACAACAGTAATTTATTTACGCTCTAAAATGTCCATATATTTTGACACATTCCTTTGTCTTATTATTCTCTTGAATTTTTTTTCTTCCTTTTTTTCTTTCTTTATATTTTCTGTCTTTTTAATTTTCTTTCCTTTCTTCATTTGTTTCTTTTTCCTTTATTTTTTGTCTTTCTTTTTCTAACTTCCTATTCTTTTTTTCTTTTCTTTTTTTACTTATTTCCTTTATCCTTTCTTTTTCTATTTTTCTTAGTGGTTTCTTCCTACTTTCTATCCTTTCTTTATTTCTTTCTTTCTAATCATTTATTTTGTCTTCGTTCTTTATTTAATTTCTTTATTTCTTTTACTTTATTTTCTTTTCTTTTATTATTTCTTCAGTGTTATACTTCTGTTCTTTTCTTCTCTCTATCTCTCTTTCTTTTTGTGATTTCCTTTTTTTCTTTGTTTTTGGTATTATTTTTTTTTTAATTTATTGTTGCTTTCTTTTCTTTTTGTCAATGTTTTTTTTCTTTTCCTTCTTTCTCTCTTTCTTTGTTTCTTTCTTGTTTCTTTCTTTCTTTAATTATTTATTCTGATCTTTTGTTCTCTTTCTTTTTCTTTCCGTTTTTTTTTAAATTTGTTTTCTTCCTGTGATTTCGTTTTTTCTTTCTTTCTTTTCTGCCCTCTTTTCTTTATTTATTAAATACATTTTTTTAATTCTTCATATTCATATTTTGTAGTGGCCTTTTTTTCTCTCTCTCTCTCTCTCTCTCTCTCCTCTGAAGGCTTCCTTTTCTCTATCACTTTGTTTCACTTTGCCGTGGCTTGTCCCCCCCACTCCCGCTTCTCATCTCTTCACCACGTTTTCCTATAGTTCCTCTCGAGGGCGAAAAATCAGACTCGAAGCAATTATCAACATAATGAATCTTTTCGAAATAATTTAAAATTCCACAACTTTCTCTTTTGTCGGCGTCCGCCATTTTGCCAGGGGCAGGATTCTTGCTCTATCTGTACATACACAGACAGATCTTACGCATAAAACATACTTTCCTCTGCTCTTTCTTTTTTAATATTGAGTTATTAGAATATATGCGCCTCACGCTGACAGATAAAGCTATATATAATTTCGCTTTTGTAGTAATTAACAAGCATTTCAAGAAGAAAAAAAAGTATTTTGCTTTTAAGTTCTTAAGATAAGACTGGCGCTGTTTAATATTATCGAAATAAAGCAATATGATTTTCTTTTCGAAATAACTTTCTATTAAGAATCTCCAAGCAAATATCGAATTTAAATAGATATATTTCTGATTTCTTTTTATTGATGTTATCAGTATGATATCACGATTCATCAGTGAATGTAGCAGATTCGTTGTGTCGTCTAAAGGCTTCTTGACTTCACCTCTATAGTGATTAAAGTTCCTTCGTGTCTTCAAGCGGCACTCAGACATAAAACCCATCATTAAATATGTTGGAAAAGACTGATCATTTAATTGTTCCTTTCCAGAAAGTATTTGATTTCTCCTGCCATGCTTTATCGTTTACAAAATTCAGGGCTTACGGCCTCATCATGTTGAAACCCCGGTTTTGATACTAATTTTAAACGGCCTTGTGGGTGATAAATTATTTCTAACCCTACAACCCATTTCTTAAAGAAAATTATTTGAAAGCTATCGCTATTTTATCGCTGTTTCCATGGCAAATGTTCAGACGAACTACATTCCTTAGTTCCTCCCAGTCAGCTCCCAAGAGGATGCTTTCTTGATCCCTACGATCGTTATCTGTCTATGTTGCATATCTTCATTATTCCAACTAATTGCCAAGAATATGGAGGAGAAAATAAGCTTTCAAACAAAGTACAGACTGTACAAATCGCTGAATAGACATCATTCTTTATGGATCTGAATCCTGGACACTATTGGCAGAAACAAAGAGACGGATCTAAGCGTTTGATAACAAATACATGACAAAGATCCATGGCATTTTCTATTGGGAACCCAAAACCAATGAGTTTGTGCGGAAAAGGGTTGAAATGAATCTCTTCTCGCCACTGTCAAACGGAGTTAAATGGCGTCGGTTGGACACATTACAAGGCACGACAGTCTGTGGAAGACCATCATGCAAAGCACCGTTGACAAGAGAGACAATTTCAAAAGATGGACAGTTATGACTGTACCAGAACTGCTGATGGCTGCCATTAATAAAACGTTGGGGAAAAGAGTTAATGTGGCTTCTGCATTCGGGTCCGCCTTTCGATTACAAAAGTCAAGGGGAAGATGATGACGATTATGATCATGATGATGATCATCATGATTGTTCACGTATGTTGAATTCAATCCCTTTAGAGCGATAGAAAGAAGGTGGGTAGGCAATTTGAATTGGCGATAGAAAGAAATTGAAAAAAAAATATCGTCTGGTGAAAAGTGGAGTGGTTGAGGGAAAATGGTAATGTTAATCGGAGTTTAAACACTTCCTTGGCGTACACGGCGGGTATATACGTTTTTAACGAAAACGTCTTTTTTTTTCAGATATGGGCGAATAAACACGTCCAAAAAACGACGTCCCAAACCCAGCTACAGACGTGTTTACAAGTAGATCACGATTGTTTTCTGCGCTCCTGAGCTTGAAACGAATCCACTTGTCAAATCTTACGCCCAGTAGAAGTGTTAGCCAGAGCTCGTGTACTTCAAGAGAACTCAATTTCAAAAAACAAGACTGTTATGGGACCTTACCCATGATAACATAATGGACTATTCCATACGGAATAAATACTGTGCCTCAAGAGGAAGCAGGGAGTTCAGTCCGAAGTCGAGCGACCGGCTGATCGGTTTTGGCCGAGCCCACGAGCTCGGAGATCCCACGTTAAAAAGGCTTTGTGCCACATGATGCCCTCGTGGGAGGGTGACTGAATATCGTTCAGTCCGAAGCCGGACGACCGGCTGACCGGCTGATCGGTTGAACTCTCTGCCTTCTGGCGGGAAAGAACCCGAACGAGGCTACGCCGAAGGGCGGAGTCTCTTTCGGGAGGTAAACCGACCCTCAACCCGTTTATACGGATTCAAAGAGCATATTTTTGGCCGAGCCCAAGGGCTCGGAGATCCCACGTTAAACCGGCCTTGTGCCACATGATGCCCACGTGGGGTGGGGTGACTAAATACCGTTCCGTCTGTATGGAATGGAGTCCGTCAGGAGTCTGTCAGTCAGTCAGTCAGTCAGAGCGAGTCAGTCAGTCGAGTCAGAGGCAGTCCGAAACAGAGTCGCGTTCAGACAAATACTACTAAACCTGATTGTTCGTACTAACACTTTTCTACTTCTCTGTATATATTCCTGTTTGTGATATATCTGTGTTATTCCATATCAATGTTCGAGTTCTTCTTTATTGGTTCTAACTTGGACTATCACCGTGGTACAAGAACCGGACCATAACAAAGACAAATAAAATTTCAAGTGAAAATGAAACATTTTTTCCCCAAAAATAACTAGCGGAGAAGTGGGTAACACGGTAAAACTAAACGACAAAGGAGACTCTGGTATTCTGCTGCTTTATACACAAATTGATTACATTCGATTTTTTTTTCGAATGACATTATTATCGTGAATCGTTCCTGTTGTATTTCCTTCCGGTATTTCCTTATTAGGTACGATCGTTTAGACAGACCGGATGTCCTCCGGCTTCATTTCCAGTTATCAATCATGTATTATTTAAATATAGTTCAGACATATTCTTCACTCAAGAAGTCTCACTCAGCTGCCCGGCTACTTACTTAGGATTCGCCTTCTCGGAGAACATAACGAAACTACATACGTACGTACCTACCTACCTACCTATCTATCTATCTATCTATAAATATATGATAAGTATAATAAAAATAAGGGCCCACACTCTATAATATCAGCTATGAATACCGACACAGCGTGCAGATGGTGTTTGGAAAATTAAAGACAAGAACACATTCCTACCACTACACACACAGATATATAAATATCTACATATTCAGACCCCCAAAATACACCATTGATAATGGCTAATAGAATCGTTGCAAGTGTTCGTATATATAGACAATTTAGATAGCTTCTAGACACATTAAGCATTGAAAAGAAAACACAATGCAACAAGAATTATGCTGCAAGTCGATTTAATGAAATATATAATAGAGGTATTGCTGCCCAAATTCAAAATTACACACACACACGTACACACACAAATACAGTATCGGCCATAATATAAGGAACGGAAACAACAAAGATATAAATATGTTTATTACTTAAAAAGTAATGCATGATTAGCAATGAAATTTTTACCGAATAAAGATTAGCGTGTAATGCATAAATATTATACAATGTTACAAAAATTTACATAACTGTGTCAGTGGCACATGGGAAAACACCGTTGCCTTCTCCTTTACGCCGTTCAGCTGAAAACATTGCTGAAGTGCACGAGGATGGGGCTGCAAATCGAGAAATCTCTATCATCCACAACAATCAATATTTTTCTGAACCTACATATTATTTTTTTTTAAATCATCCATAGAACATTTGCGTTCAGATTCTTACAAGTTGCAAAGTACGAAACTCCAAACACGGATTTTTTTTTTCCTTAAAATTGTTTTAAAAAAACCATACATCCTTATTTTATATCTATCTATCTCTCTATCTTTTTTTTTTCTTTCTTTTTTTTTTTTTTAAGCGTTTCACCCCAAGCAAGGCGGGAAGCCACTAGGATGCAAGGGGTTACAGAATATTTGGAACAAGATCAGATACAAGAAAGTATGAGGAGAAGGATAGTGGATACATCAAGACAACTGAAGATGTCGATTGACATTACATTTGAAAAGATGGAGATTATAGCTCTCAGAGAAGGGAGTTCCACAGGCGAGAGGTGCGAGACATGAAGCTATTGGAGTAGAAGAGGCGACTACATTTAACAGTTTCAACAGTGAAAGGGTGAGAACGAGATGCCAGCCTCGTAGGACGCTTGAATTCGCGAAGTCTTGGAACCAGCGAATGCAGCTCCTCAGAGCAATTACCATGAAAGTATTTGTAAAAAAAGACAGAGAGAGGCGACGGCGCGTCTGTGAGAGAGTGACTGTACACAAGATGGCAGAACAGGGCCAATTATATTGCATATCCGCCTCTGGATCTTATCAAGAACCTCGAAGCAAACGGGGCTCCAGACCATATATGGCAGCAATACTCCATGCAAGGGCGAATTGTTGCTTTGTAGATCTGGAGGGTCGATTCCGGGGAGAAAAAATTCCTGGCACAGCACAGGGAGCCAACTTTCCTTGTCGTGGACGAAACAATTGACTCAGTGTATTTGTTCCATCTCAGGTCAGCTGTCAACGTGAGACCGAGCAGCCGCAGAGAGGTGCTCTCGAGAAGTTGAGCGTCAGACATTCTAATGGAGGGCAGGGAAGGATCTCTGTTGTGATTAATAGAGAGCAGTTTTGTTTTGGGGGCGTTAAAGTTGACCAGTCTATTCCTGCCCCAGTTCACAACCGATTGGAGGTCCTTTTCGAGACGCACGGCCAGGTTAGTTTTGTCAGCGATACTAGCTTTGTTTTTGAGGACGGAGTAAATTGTGGTGTCATCCGCGTAGATGCCAACTTGGGAATTTATGGCGTCTGGAAGGTCATTTATGAAGATAAGGAATAAAGTGGGGCCCGGGATGGAGCCTTGAGGAACACCTGCGTTCGTGGGATAGGAACTGGAGGGGGATCAGTTGAGAACGACCTTCAATTCACGGTTTGACAGGAATGATTTCATTAGGTCAAACAATCGACCCGTAATACCATAAACCTGGAGCCTGGGAAGAAGGCAGACATGCCAAACACAATCGGAAGCTTTGGAAACGGCAAAAACTGTTCCAATTCGGCC